GTAGTAGTAGTAGTAGTGGTAGTACGTCGTCGTAGTAGTGGTAGTAGTACTGGTGGTAGTAGTAGTAGTAGTAGTAGTAGTAGCAACAGCAGTGGCAGTGGCAGTAGCTAGCAGTAGCACTAGTTTTGGTATAGTATAGTTGAGGAAGTAGTATTAGATGTAGTATCTAGCAGAGTAGTTGTAGTAGCAGCAACAGTAGCAGCAGCAGTAGTTGTTGTCGCAGCAGCAGCAGCAGCAGCAGCAGTTGCTACAGTAATGGTAGTCTGTGGTGGCACCCAGTTGCTCTAACTGTTGTGACTAGCAGCAGATGTCGGTGTGGTAGGAAGTAGAATGGGTCGTAGCAGGAGCAAACCTTGGGCAGCTGGTTGTTTCTGTGGCATCCGTGGCGGCAAGAAAGCATCAAGTGCCAGCCGGAAGGGCCATCTCATTGGTGGTCATGTTGATCGCTATGAGGTAGAGGTGGTTGACGAGCAAGAAAAAGATGCCCTGGGACGGAAGGGATTGTTTTTGGCATTGGGGTGCAGGGTCTTGTCAAGCTGAAGTTTACACTCCTATGGGAACCTTGTCAATAGCCGTTGCGGGCTGGGATCTGAAATCTGGATGTAGCATCTCCGGCAAATGGGTCTTTGGATTGCACAGCAAGCATCATGTGTGATCTGATATCGTCGAAGAAGATTTGGCCGAAGCTTCGTAACTTTCGTATCGAGGACGAACCAAACCGCGATAACTGCAGGAATGGATGCAGGATTGCTACGTCGTTGCTAGCATTGCGTGACTCGATTAACAAACAAATCATGCTCCGGCGACCCACTGCACACCGCATCAGTTCCCAGGTGGAACAGCACTTTGAGAGCACCGCTGGCGAAGAAAAGCCATGCATCAGCAGGACCTCGAAACACAAAGAATGACAATAATACAACGAAGCTTTGTGGCAATAACAATCATCGTAGTTATCGTGCCCGTGCTAACAGTCATGACCAGGAGAATAAGTGAGAACCACGATACTCAACACAAAAGATCTGGCAGTGGAGTCCAGACGAGTGTGTCAGGAGTCTTTTCCGGCCGTTCAGGCACATTGGACATGTTAGACTATGCTGCATTTCCTCTCCTCCTACTTCAATGCAAGAGTATGCAGGCACTGCTCGGTACCTCAACAGTACACCTCCGTTCCGTGAAAGGCTTGAGTCTTGAGGATCGAACCCTCAAGCCGAAACCCTAAACCAACTCGTGCCCAAGACCGCCACAAAGACCAGCAAAGGAAACTGCATCGCCTGGGGATTTCGCTTAGGGAGTTTTAAGCTAATTTAAGTGGGCAGGTTTGAGTTGAGGGTCTGTGTGTGTTTGTATGCTTTGAACTTTGAACAGTAGCATCAGTATCAAAAGCGACACACAGGTGAGAGTGGCATAGAGGTTTCAGGGAGAATGCCAAAACTGCTTTCATCCTGAGTCTATGAACCCAGGAGACCAGTGCTATCATCAAAACTCTGTTGCCATATGAAGCAAGATAGATAGCTCGCCGGGCAGCCCCACAGA